ACCTGCTTCCCGGATTTTTCATTTTCAATCGGCTTAGAACGGAGATTGATCAAAGGGCTTCACAAATGCAGCTAGTTAAGCACATCATAAGGTGATGATGGCTGACTATATTGCTTATAATTAGTGAGTTGATTTCATAAGATTACCTAAGGTGTTTAAATGTATTTTTATAGATTATTAATGATTTATAATGCCTAAGAATGAGAAGACTATTGTCTATAAAGAAATGAAGCATGATATACAAATTTAGAATAAATTGGTATGATTATGTGTTATGAGTATGATGACATGATAGTTGAATTAACTACGAAACGTTATGATAAAATATACATGTTACTTCATGGAAAGATTACATGAATGAGTAAAAGTAATATTTTGAGTATTGAGAATAAATTATTTTTTGATTGGAAGATCATTTTGAATTGGCTATATATGACCATGAATGGAGAACATGATTGTTCTAAGATTTATCCGACTAGTATTAAAATACTAGCCAGGATGGTAATATGAATTATGATAGAATTGATCCTAAGATTGGATTGTGAGAAGTTGTACCTTAAATAGTCCTAAGAGATACCTTAAGGTGGAAATGTATGAGCTCTAAGTTACATCACGTGTAGGCCTTAGAGATTACTCAAGATAAATTGATTCTAGGCATATAAATTGCTTAGGGATTGAATAATGTGACTAAGAGAAAGGCTCTAGCATGTCGTAATGGTGACTAAGAGCGAGACTCTAGCATAATATAGAGTGACTAAGAGCGAGACTCTAGCACAATGTAGAGTGACTAAGAGTGAGGCTCTAGCACAGTGTAGTAATGTAAAGGAGTGGGGCTCTATGATAGTGCAAAAACATATTAGGGTAAAGCCCTATGACAGTGTAGTGACCTACTAAAAGTTTATGATGATCGTGACTAGTAGTCACGGGGAATAGGGATGGACGTTTCAAAATGAACATGGGCCCACAGGCTGACTACTTGACTTCATATAAATTCAGTATATTTTCAAACGGAGTAACCGAGGGTTACGGCCTATAATATGATATCACCATGTATGAGGGTCTTAGGAATTGAAACATTGATTATATATAGTGTAATTGTCATTGTACTTTTCAAATGCTTCAAAGTACTAGTCTCCCCTTCACGTGGGAGGCCACCTCACAGTTTCAGGTAGAAGTTGAGCTTGCTACCAGTACTCGTCGCTTTGAGGAAGGATCTAGGAGTGAAGACGTGGTTCGTGCTTCCTCCGTTTCTGTTTTTAAAACAATTGCAATAATGCTCATGTATATTATTTTCTGATATACTATTTGGGGGCTTGTGTGCCTAAGTTTGCCAAGTGTGACTTAAACACTTGTAATATTGTTTCTGCTGCTTTAATAACTATTTTACATTATTTTTATTTTTATGGATGTACTATGTATGCATGTTATTCATGACACCTAGTATAGTATGAATATGCTTGGTTGACTATTCGTACCGTTCATCAGTTAAAGTCCAATAACTTTTAGTTAGACTCACCAAAATCACGCCTAGACGACGCCTGGACAACACTAGGCTCGCCTAGGGATGTCAAAAAAAACCGACCCGCAATGACCCGCCCTGGCCCGAGACATTTGGGGCGGGTCCGCCCCGCCCCGTCTTGCAAATGGGGCGGGTCCGCCCCGCCCCGCCTATACAATGGGGCGGGTCCGGGTATTAGAATTGACCCGTGCCGCCCTGACCCGCCCCGACCCGACCCGCTGAATATATTATAAGTATACATACTTTTTCTTAAATTATAGTACTACAAATATACTTCAACATACATATGTGTATATACAATAAATCATAAATTCTTTGATCTTATAATATATGAATACGGAGTATATATTATAATGAGATGCGCGACGGATTATCAATGTCTTCTTTATATATAGAATTTTAATACATACATTCAATTATTAATATAACTAATAAGATTAACTATTCAAGTTTGAGTAATGTTTCCTTAATTTTTGAAATTTTTAGCGTATCATGAATTTGATTTAATATATTGATTTTTAATTATTATTTAGAGATAAACATTATGTAGATTCAATTGGTAACAACTTCCCACAAAAAAATACATACTAGCTAATTAGGTTACGGCGGGGCGGGGCGGACCCGTCCCGCCCCGCATGGGGCGGGTCATGGGTCAACAAATTTGGACCCGTGCAGGTCACCGGGCGGGGCGGACCTGCCCTGCCAAGTCACGGGCGGGTCCGGGTTTTGCAATACCCGCCCCGCCCCGACCCATTGCCATGCCTAGGCTCGCCTGCTCTTCTTGCGGCAAGCACTCCCTAGCACTAGGATGCCTAGTCAGTGACTAGGCGACAACATGACAAATGATTACTACCTCCGTCCCTATATAAAAGTATCCATTCATTTTACACACATCTTAAGAAAGTGGATTTGATTGGTACTGTTTGGACACTGTTTGGCACTATTTGGCACTGTTTGACACTGTTTTGCATTGTTTTGTTTGCCAAAAAAGGAAAGAGAACTTTTATTTAGGGACGGCCCGAAAAGGAAACATATGCTTTTATTTAGGGACGGAGGGAGTATAATGGACGGAGGAGTATTACAAATTAAATTATATGTTACCTAGAATTGAAACCAACAGTGAATAATTTTATAATTCAAAACAAAAGTAAAAAGAGCCATATCAAATAAGTAAATAATAATAATAATAATATAGTGCACTAAAAAGTACTTTAAATTACCATAAAGAAGAAATATAATAGTATACGAAGAACGGAAGAATACTAAAAATACAAACCGCAATATCTAGTGCCAAACTACGTCCAAAAGGTTGAATTCCCAACCCCAAGAGCCCCCCCACCCCGACTCGACAGGATGGTGGGGGAGTAAATCACGGTGACTCAGTCGGCAAAGCGACAGTAGGCCTTTACCCGTGCGCATCAGAGGACCAGCCTTATTTCAGGTTCTGAAAACCCCCTTTTGGCCGCTGCGGGATTCGAACCTTGGTCTACGTCCAATTTTTCCCACCACTCGACTAACTGAGCTACCCGTGCGGGTATCTAGTGCCAAACTAGTCACTAGACATCGGTGTTAGTATTTTTAGTAAAGGAACTCTAAACAATTAACTGTGATACAAAAAAAAATGTAAATGCTACTCCCTCCGTTCTCCTATTATTGTCCCATTTTCTATTCACTTGGTCAACACAAATCACTCTTAATCTCTTACTTTATTTATCAAATTTTTATCAAATTTGATTCTGGTTTTTGCGACTTTGTAAACCTTTTAATGTAGTTTCTTAATATGCAAATTTTTTTTCCTAAAAATAATTCTAGTGCGGACAGGGATCTGTTTGCTTTATCGTCAGTCAAGCATCGTAAACCGCAATGAGACAATAACAGGGGAACGGAGGTAGTATATACAATGTACAAAAAATTAGAAAATGAGAAGCAAAAATGGAAAATGGTAAAAAAAACCAAAAAAACAAAGCAGAACCTGAGGAAAGAAAACTCAAATGACTATTTAAAATTCTCCTTCAAGTGGAGACATGGAATTCGAATGCATTTTGGTTTCTAAAACTTATTTGAGACTTCGACCTAGGGGTGCACCGGGACCGGGCCGCGATAGGGATAGGATTGGGTATTGGGATGAAGGCCCAGGACCTGGCTGGGCTGGGCCCGAGACCTTGCTAGGCTGGGCCTAGGGTATTTTTTAAAAAAATTGCTTAAAAAGGAAAAAAATAGCTCGGACTGGCTGGGCTGGTCCCCCGTAGCAGAACCTGAGGAAAGAAAACTCAATGACTACTTAAAATTCTCCTTCAAGTGGAGACATGGAATTCGAATGCATTTTGGTTTCTGAAACTTATTTGAGACTTCGACCTAGGGGTGGACCAGGTCCGGGCCGGGATTGGGGCGGGACTTGTTATTGGGATGAAGGCTTGGTACCGACCCGGGTTTGAACCGGGCCCGGCCCGGGCCCGGGCCCGGGTCGGGTTATTTAAAAAAAAGTTTAAAAATGGAAAGAAAAAAAATTGGCTCGAACTGGCCGAGATGGCCCCCCTTTTCTCTGCCCCGTAGCCCGCCCCTACCCTCGGTTCGGGCTCCATGGACCGGTACCGGTTGGCGGTCCGATTCGGTACTAAACAATACTGGGCCGGTCGAACCGAGCCCCGTCCATCCCTACTTCGACCGCTCAGGTTTACAAATCATCAAGCAAGACTTTGGATTTATATATAAAAGTCCCAATTCAATTAGTTTGCTAAACTTCAAATCTAGTCTTATTTTGGTGACGCAATGGCACTTGGCGACCACTCCCCAGCTTTGGAACCGAATCTGCTGGAGTCCACCCCTACCTATGCCCAGAAGTGGCTGAGCCTAGGGGTGGACTGGGTTGGGTCGAATCGGCACGTGAACCGGACCGGCCTGCTATTGTGCAGGCCCGGATCGGATCAGGAACCGGATGGCCGGTTTCGGGCTTTAGTCCGGGTTGGGCGGGCCTGGCGGTCCGGGCTCGGACCCTGTTTTTATTGAACCGGCACGAGCGGTCCGAGCCGGACCTGGTTCATTTTTTTGTTTTTTCAATTTTTTTTCTTTTCCTAGGGTAGGGCTAGGTGTTTTGGGGAGGTTTGAGGGGGGGGGGGGGGGGGGTCGGGGGTTAATTAGAAAGCAAAAAAAATATACATTGGACCGGCCCAGACCAGCCCGACCCGGTTTGACCCGGACCTGGTATCAACCCGAGCCGGTTCTGGGCCCAACATCTGGAAAAAAAAAAGCCTGGCTTGATTTGGCCCGGAGCCCGGCCCGGTCCCTCCCTAGCTGACTCCACCTCTTAGTTGAATTCGTTCAATTGGATGTGTTAAACCAAAGCTAGATACAACCACACGACCCGCTCAGGGGTCAATTGCTCTTTGCTAGATTGGACATATTTTTTTTGTCATCAACTCCAGACATTCTTATTAATCCAAACAATCAGTAGCCAAAAGGCTAGCAATACAACTAGGCGCCACATCATAGCTACTATGCTGATCTGGGAGATTTATGTGTCCTCTTGCTATTGCATGAGCCACACTTTCGCAGATCACTCTTAGTTTCTAACACCTCTCTAATATCCTCTATAATAATTTGTAAATACGAGCACCATCCCCCTGACTTTATATTCTTTACTACTGTCATTGCATCTAACTCAAACTCAACCTGATTTCATCCTTCCCGAATAGCACCCTTAATAGCTTCCTGCAGCCCATGAGCTTCTGTCTCTGCCACTGTCCAATTCACCGCCGCCGACCCCCCTTGTGCTTTCAGAAAATTCCCCTCATCATATCTTGTCATCCAACCCCAAGCTCTTACACCCCCATTTTCATTTGTCGCGCCATCCACATTAATTTTTATATAATATTTCTTCGGTCTCTTCCACTGTTCTCTCTTTATTTTGTTGAACACCTGTCGGTCCCCCCGATCTTGGGTCTCCTTCCAGCTTGCCAGCATTCCACCAGCTCCATTAATAACACTAGTGGTGTCCAGCTTTTGATCTTTCCAAACTGCATTATTTATTCGTTTCCAAAGGCTCCAGAGTAGCGCCATGAATTTACCCTTCTTCTCCTCATCTCCCATCTCAATACCCCTCCTCAGCCAATCCTCTACCGGCTTGTCCTCCTCGGCATTTATGCCAGCTTCCTGCCACACGGGACGAGCCCATCTACAACTCCGAAAAGCATGCTCCAGAGATTCCACCGGGTCATCACATAGTTTACACCCGTTCGGTATAGCTATACCTCTCTGGCGCAATTTATCCACAGTAGGGATCGTCCCATCCAAAACCTTTGGAGCCCCTCTACACACCGCCACCCCATGCACATCGCATCTGCTATCCGCCCTCCTCAATAGCGAACTTAGGCCTTCGGCCACTAGTATAAATAAATAGGGAGATAGTGGGTCCCCTTGTCTCAACCCTCTACCCGGAATAATCGGCCCTAGTGCTCCCTTCTCGAATTGGACATGATAGCTGACTGTACTGATACACTCCATTATGAGACCAATCCAACTGGCTTCAAAGCCCATTCTCCCCATTATTTTCTCCAAAAAACTCCAGCTCATTCTATCATAAGCTTTACTCATTCTAGCTTGAGTGCCACAAACCCCTCTTTACCCCCCTTGTTTTCTCTTCAGAGAGTGCTGAGTCTCAAACGCCACCACAATATTATCCACTATCGACCTTCCTGGAATAAACGCGTTCTGGTTTTCTCCTATCAAATCTCCCAATAATCCTTTCATACGATTAGCCAGGACTTTAGAGAAGATTTTATATACTACATTACATAAAGCAATCGATCTCATGTCCCCCATATTCTCAGGTCTCTCCTTCTTTGAGATCAGTACAATATTGGTAACATTTATTTCTCTAGGAATTCTCCCACTATCAAAAATACCTCTACACATATCTATTACCTCCGGATCCACAATATCCCAAAAAATTTGGAAAAAGGCCGAATTCATCCCATCCGTACCTGGGGCCTTCTCCAGGTGCATATTAAATGTGACTTCCTTTACTTCCTCCATCGTGATTTGCCGTAATAGCCTGATGTTCTGCGTCGAGCTCACCGTTCCTAGTGGGCCGAGATTCGAGAACCTCCTCCACATCTGACTGAGGTAGCTCTGTGAATAATCCAGCAAAGTAATTATACACCATATCCCCTACCTCTTCCCTGCCCGTCGCCCAACTTCCCTCCGACCTTCGTAATCCCTGCAGTTTATTTTTCCTCCTGCGCGCCTTAACCGCATTATGGAAGAACCGGGAGTTAATATCTCCTTCTCTCAGTCAGAATTCCTTAGCCCTCTGCCTCCAGTACTGATTTTCCTTCTCCAACAACGAATTCAGGACTAATCTAGTGCGGATATATTCAATAACATTAGTCGTGTCCTCCTTCCATTTTAATCACGACATTCATTTTTTGCATGCTTGTATTTGATGGCGAAAACCATTGGTTCTGCTGCCATCCCATTTAGCTAATTCTTTCCCACAAAAGAGAAGTCGATCCCCCACTGTCATTTGTTCTCCTGCCCTCCAATTGTTAGCTACAATTGTTCTTCATTCCTCCTCCTTCAGCCAATTGTTTTCAAATCGGAACCTCTTCTCCGTCTTATTATGACAAGTAGGCTTTATACGAATAACTAAGGCCATATGGTCACTTGTGGAGGCTTCCACCGAGTTTGCTATTGCCTCCCTGAAATTATCCCACCAAGAATCATTGATAAGAATTCGGTAAAGCTTTTCCTCCACCCAATTTGGAGTTCCTTTCCCCCATTCCCATGTCCACTGGTATCCGTCAAACGGGAAATCTCGCAATCCACAAGCTGCCACTCCCCTGAATCCATTCAAACGCCACAGTGGGTGCGGTATTCGCCCTTTCTTATGCGACACATACATGATATCATTCATGTCTCCCATGACCAACCATGGAAAAGAATTGCTCGCTGCCAGCCTTTGCAGTAGATTCCACACCGCCCTCCTCCTCACCGTCTCCGGGTATGCATAGTAGCCGGTGAACCTCCACGTTAAACCGCCTTCCATGCTACAGACCTGGCAATCGATGAAATTGGCGTTCGATTCCACCACCGTTACATCGCAATCTTCATTCCATCCCAAGATAACTCCTCCTCCTTGCCCTTCTGCATATGTACCTTCGCTGTTAATATACCCTAGCGACCGAAGTATATCCTTCACCCTTCTGCAGCGTAATTTTGTCTCCATCAAAAATATGATTGATGGTTTGTTCCTCTGCACCAGGTCTGATAAGCACTGCACCAACACCGGGTTTCCCAAGCCTTTGCAATTCCAAGCCAACACGCTCATAATTCCGATCAACACCAGAATCCGCAGATCTATCCACAGGGAGCTTTGGTCTCAGCGCCGTACTCCTATGAGCAGAGCACCACCGGAAAACAACTAGACGGTGCCGTCCGCAACCCTAAAATTCAACCAAATGCTTATCATTTTACTTATGATTTACGTTTAAGTAATCATTGAAGTACGCAGGTGGTGGTGCATGTCGTTATGTTAATTGCATTGCTAGATTGGACATATTAGAAAGGCTTGTTTGAAACTTTCCTTTTTTGAATTAATGTTCATCCTATTTCTCATCGTCAAACATGACCTTGGGAGGTCAAATACTCTTGTAGTCATGATTACGTGATAGGGAAATAGAGTTCAGTGGCGAACTTGATCCAGTTCGACTGAACTCCTAGCGAAGTCCCAATCACATTTTTAAACAAAAAAATAACAATTGAATCTAAAACAAACAAGATATGCACCACTAGACAGAAGTAATTACATGGCGTTAAATAGGTATTGCATACACAAGTTACCTAATTCATTACAGGTACCGCTGCGACTCGAACTACCTTTGAAAAGACATCTTAACCCCATACAGCCTATTAGGTTATCAATGATTGTCACATGCAAGAAAATTTAAGCAGCTTACCTGCATATGACATTCATCAGCAGTTAACATTTACAGCAAAATTATGTACAACTGTGCACGTAACAGCCATGCAGATCACTGGATTAGAATTTGCTACTTGAACTGATATATGTCATCACTTTCCATAGTGGATATGTCATCACTTTCCATAGTGGTGATGCCGCCAATTGCACAAAGTGTTGCCTCGGTTTCCACTCTTTGAAGTTCGGCCTACCAAAACGAAGTAAAAAAATAAATAGATTGAAAGTGTAATTCCAAATGCAGAAAAATATTTTGTAAAAAATTGAAAATGGATGCATTGTACCTTAGCCTGTCGATATTTGTCAAGAATGCGATGATATTGTTGGCGTGCCTGTGGACAATCAACCATTGAGAGGACCCTTGAGACAGCTTCATCAATTGACGCATCCACTTTCTGCTTCCGGAAATCTTTGAGTATGTCTTCTTCATCCTCATTTTCATCAATGAACTCTTCCTCGGGTCGAAATCCACGAAGTCCAACTCTCCTTCTACGCCACCTAAGCACTACCTTTTCTAGAACTCCCACAGCCCAGCATACCTTGTAATTCTTTCTAACCTGATAGCCTCGTACATGAGCCTGCAAAAGCAATTTCAACTTCGATATATTTTTATTCAACCTAATTGCTCCAAGAGTTTTAGTGACAAATATTAACACAGAAATTGCCATGGGGGAGCACTATTACATTCCAAATGGGTTTCCCTCCTACAAATTCAACCTAATTCATTTTTCTAAACAAGAACAAAAAAAAACATGATTCTCATCGACGTGGTTGCCAATGAAAAACTCAAGAGCCACCTGGATTTAGCAATTGAATCCCACCGAGTCATTTTTTCCAGAACAAGTTCACATGTATCTATATCATGATCGCTTACCTTCTGACTCTGCCACATTGACCTGTTTTTCATGGACTAAGGTAGAACTATGGTATTGTTCTCTATTTCAAATGCACTCAGTATTATGGCATTACTTCTAATAATAGAACAAGTGGAAGACTAACATTTACAATTGATATTTGATATATGTACGCACGTCTAAGGAGAATTTCCACCGCACTATTTTACACATTTTATGTGTTTGCATTCTACATTTAGGAAAAAAATGTTGAATACCTTTTCCTTATTTTGTGCTACCTTACTAGTGGGTTCAACCTCAATTCATGTTATTATGACGCCGACTTTATTGTGATATAAATTGACCCTTCGTACGGTTAAGTGAACTTGATTCGTATGCAACTCAGAGAGTAGAGAAATTGTGGAAGTGGCTAAGAACCTGTATCTTTACTACTTTCTGACGGAAAGTAAGGAAGTCCTTCCTTCCTTTCCATCCTCGATATTTCTTTTGGATATCTAAAGCTGCTGAGTTGTAATCACGTGTTGAACAGAATGCTAACATAGATGCAGCTGGAACACCCTGAATGTCATTTGGGAGAGTATAATATTCATCTCCACCAGGAAAAGAAACAGTTTCTTTTTGTTGTCTCTTCCTGAAAGAATGCGCCCGGAATGCAGATTGTATGCGTGCAGCAGCTTGAGCAGCATTCCTGACTGCAGCTAAAGTATGCTTCAGTGAAAGCTGATCCTCATTTGTTGTAGGACTTGCTGTGGGGAAACTAACATTGACCTTTTCTGCTACCACATCAGTAGAACCTTTAAAGAGCTCACTCTTTTCCAATGTGAGGGATGAGAGATGACTGGTTAGAGCCACTTCTGAAAGATATCCTGCAAGTCCCTTGTGTCCACAATTAGCAGCAATGGCAGCAGGAGTTTTACCAAAAAGATCTTGTTTGGTGGGGTCAGTAACTGCTCCAGGTGATGCACCAGATGCTATCAGCGCAGCAACCATTCTTTCCCTGTTACATGTATGGAATTTAAAAGACAATGAATAATTATAGCAATAAATAACAGAAAAATACAAGAGCAGTGAGAGAGAGAGAGATCATAAGCCATATTCACATTATGGCAGAACAAGTAACAAAGAAGAGAACCCAAAAAAGGAAAATTGAGTAATTGCGTGAAGATAAAAACATTGTGTGCCCCCAGTTCATAAAACAAAGGGAAAACGGCCCTTTTAGGGAGTCTGGATCAAGGGGAGGGGAAGAGAAGATTCAACTCTCGCCTTGTTAGGTTAACAAATGCAAGGGGAAAGGGAGCTTAACTTACTATTTCTACCCCCTCCTATTTCCTTTCCTCCAGAATCAGATGAGAGTACCCCCCCCCCCCCCCCCCATACCTGCACTCCTCTCCATGTCCTCCCCCCCTCAAAGGCTCAAACTGAACACATAGTCACCGAGTTATACTCCAAGCATCAAGTCAGTCCTCCACTATATGTCTATATGGGGAGTCTAGTTTTAGTCTGAGTAGCACCGAAACGGAAGTGAGGACGGAAATGGGGGTGGGGAAACTCTAATCTCAAAATACCCAGATACGGGTATGGCATGGAAACGTTGAACTAAAAATTAAAATTTTACTAATAAAAACAAATAACCATTATATGAGGTCTTTTTGGCTTAACAAAATCTCTTTGAAGTCCTAAAATAGAATACATTTGTAACAGCTTGGCATTTATATGCTCCAGCTTAACATTTATATGCTCCAGCTTGAGGGGGGGTGTTGAGAGTTGAGATCCTAATCCTAGTTGCATTGGACCCAGCCCACTTTGTGTAGTTCGCCCTAGTTGTAGCTATACATATAGATGATGTTGCCATCCTTTTAATGCATCAATAATAAGAATAAGAGTTATATTTCACATAGACATTATATATGCAAAATACATATTATATGTATGCATATAATTACATGCCATGCACATATCAAATCCAATAAATGATAAATATATTACTCAAAATCTCAAACCTCATATATTTCATACTTATGAAGTACCGATAAAAAGGCACTAGTGTCTTAAACAAAAGAAACAAATCATTAAAGTAGCTTACTAATACAACAACATTACCCCATTGCCGCAAAGGCTCCCACCTACAGTGGAGTAAGCAGGCTCTCACTCGTGATGAAAGTTGCTTTATTCCATCATATTCCCAAGCCAAAAAATGGTGAGTTTTTGGCTTCATTGGAAATGGTGGAAATAAAGTAGCTTACCTTTTTTTAGGGAATCAGTCAAATAATCAAATTAGCAGTCATCAATATCTTGTAATAACAAAATCATGGTTGACGGGATGCCATGGACGACCCTAATGTGGAGATGTACGGTGTAGGTTATATTTGATCTTGGTTTCTGTTTTGACTTTTGAGCTATGTGAGTAGTGTTCAGTAGGGTTACCCCCCCCCCCCCCCCCCCCGCCGCCACATGTTTTGGAGGGTGTAGTGGGGTTATTCTTTACTTTAAGAAACATCTAAAAGTAAAAAATACACCCAAATTTCCTCAAAACTAGCACTGAAGAAGTAAACCCACTACATCCGCTATTTTTTCCACTATAGGTCCGCTACAGCTGCTATTTCTAACCGCTCCGCTATAGGCTATCTGATAGCGCCTAGCCCCTGCTCTGCTCCATTACGCCGCTATAGCGCACTATTGACTTCATTGGGATACTAATACTATTCAGTGATGTCAATAGCGCGCTATAGCGGCGCTATAGCGGTGGAGCGGAGCGGAGGAGAGGTCTGGCGCTACTAGACCTCCTGTAGCGGAGCGTTTGGGTGTAGCGGACTTCGCGGGCGCTATAGCGGGGGCGCTATACAGGTAGAGGTGGACGCTATAGCGCCGCTTCTTGCGATCGAAGGTCTGTTAGGGTTTTTTCTGCGTTTATTTTTTGACTGCGGAAGGACAGGGGTAAAGTAGACTTTCAACACTGACTAGTAACCAACTTAAACCTTGTACACGTACGCAGAAGTTTAGAAATCCTTAAAACGGCTCCATGTTTTAATAATACGGAGTAAAAACAATAATCTTTATGCCTTCTCTTCTCTCTGCTCTGCGATGACCTCTGCTTCAACAAATTTTTCTGCTTCATCTTTTTCAAGAATGATCTGTGCTCCATCTTGTACAAGAATGACTCATGCTACACTCCTCTTTGTTTCTTTCCAGTGGTAGACTGATATACTTAATTTATCAAGGCTTAAACCAGGAACTTGTTTTTGATTCAATGTTTTCACTTAGATGTTTTAATCATTAAAAGTATGTTTTGCTCATGAAACTATGGAATATTTCCCAGTAAATTAGGATTTAAGAATTTTAAGATGTTTGCAACTTTAAATGGCATATATCATACTTTACTAATGTGTATGTAATGTAATTATATGTTTCTAGTTAATTATGTATTATACTTAAAAGTAGTCTGAATAGCGGTCATCTCGCTATCCGCTATACCGCTATAGCGTTTTCAAGGCTGGCCGCTCCGCTCCGCTATCTGGGATTGACAACACTGATACTATTATGAAAACTCATGCATCTCATTTTATCTTTTCCCCCGTCTATCTTATCTTTTTTATTGTTTTTTTATCTTTATCTTATGA